AAGATAACCCTAAAATCCACATATTTAAAAGTCTTATAACTTTTTATTTTTGCCCTCACTGGCCTCCAAGTTTTCTAGGATGATGCAATGTCCAGCCATCAACACATTTGTGAAGGAATTTTTACTCCCCAAAAGAGTGCCCCCCCATGGCAGGAGAAAAAAGTCCATTTTTTCTTGTCCCCTAAGGTGAAAATACACATTGTTGAGTGTCACGCCTATACGCTTTGTCAAAATTACACAAAAATTGACACACACATGTAACTCAATAAGATCTACGAAAAAGTCAATGCGTGCGTATCTGTCAAATGTACGGTTAAAGGGTTATTCCGCATTTTTTGCCGATCCGCACACATTGGAATGTGGCTAACTCCTCCTAAGGCTTTCGTTCCACCGGCACCACATTTGCTCAGGCCAATCTACACCCCATGGCCATTAAAAGTTATTCAAATCATGACGCTGCACCCCACGGTTTAGGTTCTAGGGGGCGCCAAAGATAACCCTAAAATCCACATATTTAAAAGTCTTATAACTTTTTATTTTTGTCCTCACTGGCCTCCAAGTTTTCTAGGATGATGCAATGTCCAGCCATCAACACATTTGTGAAGGAATTTTTACTCCCCAAAAGAGCGCCCCCCCATGGCAGGAGAAAAAAGTCCATTTTTTCTTGTCCCCTAAGGTGAAAATACATATTGTTGAGATTCACGCCTATACGCTTTGTCATATTGACACAAAATTTGACAATCACGTGCCTTGCCTGGTATCATTTTTTTCAGCCCAACCTCACCTGTGCGAATTTACAGTTATTTTATCATGTTGACATACTGAATTTACACAATGGACCCAAATTCACACACAAAACATAAAATCCGAGTGGAAAAAAGTAACATTTTTACTGTGAAAACCACAAATATGTGTGATGAACTGTTTTTAAAACTTAGACTTCAAATAAAAATTGTAAACTTCAAAACATATGCAAATTTTTAACAAAGAACATAGTGATTTACCTCTATTTACATCAAAATGCAGGCAATGGCCCAGGCGTTCTTTGTAAAATTATTTACAAAACACTGTATAGTCTCACAAATGTCACTTTTTATTTATGCCACTACAAAAAAACATGATGTAAATGATGCATGATGTAAAACATGATGTAAAAAACTTGTGTAGATCCTCCTCTATGTCAGTCCATGTGTAATTTTTCCATAATTCTTTGTTTTTTGCAGCATTTTTGTTAGTGTAACTGCAGATTGTGCTGACAGTGTCTATGGCACAAAAAAAAAAAAATTTAAAATGCCTCAACATGAACCCCTGGTGGTCTCTGAGGGTGAAACCTGCTAACTGCTGCAGCTCTGTCAGCTTCAGTCTCCCATGCAGAGCTCTGAGCGCATGTGTGGCTCTGCACCCTTAGCAGCGTTGCTAACTCCTCAGTAAGGAAAGCCTGCTTCATGTCAGAGTCTCTAATCTCCAGAAGAAGTCGATAAAAGTCCCTTTCTTTTTAATAAAAAGTCGTAAGGGGGTCTGAAAAGTCATTGAATCTAACAACAAAGTCGCTAGGTTTGCAACTACGTGTCCCAGACTGCATCCCTGCTGAGAGTCCCTCCCTCGCTTCTCATGTTGCAGGAAGAACGTAAGCGCCAGCCCCTTGTCAATCAGTCACCATATAATTTTGGATTGGTTGTTGTGGTGAAGTTTTCCACCAATAGGAGAGATGTTGTGGTGTGTTTTTTTTTTCTTTTGGCAAGCCTTTTCCGCCTGTAAGACCTGTCGCTAATGTCTGCATGCTATGTTTTCCTGTCTCATACAGCGCGATCGAGCGCCGAACGTGATCAAAATAAGCAGAAAAAAAGTATCGCGGACATAATTTATCATAACTCTGGTTTTATTTGGCCTATCAACACAATTTAAAAACTGGTATATAGGTTGAGGTCCTCACTTTTGAGATAAGTTGAAACGGAGAGTCAACGAGGCTCCGTCTTGCAGCTACATCCGGTTAAATATGTCATGTGACTTGAACGCACACACAGACACACACACACGCACACACACACACACACACACACACACACACACACACACACACACACACACACACTCAGAGTCTGGTTTTTAGCACCTGCAAAAACATGCTATTTACATATTTGACAAGAATGCAGAGGCTCCTTTTGCCCCTGAAAAAAATCTAATTTCAAACACAACTTGACTGGTCATTTCTCCAAAAGACAACCATGAAGCTCCATCCAAACCTGAAGCAGGCAGTTGGTGCATGTGTACAGTAACCTGAGGGGAGTGAGGTGAGTGCTTCTGAGGAGAACATGAGAAGTGAAGATTCACCTTGGAGCTAGAACAGAGACATGCACATGATTATACAGGGGCAGGGGCTCAAGTTTTTTCCAGTCGTTTATACAATATGGAAATTAATGTGAAATTAAAACACAAAGTATTAATAGAAAGGTAATGACTGTTCTGTGTAGGTGACAGTGATATCCAATAGGCTAGGCACTCACGAGGCTGGCTGTGGCAAGTGTAAGTGAAAGCAACACGCACTGGCAGGAAGAACAGCAAACGCCGATGAAGGAAAAGGGTCTTTGCAGTGATGGGCGTTACCAGAGAGGGCGATGGCCAGAGGACACAAATGGGACGGGGAGGCAGCACGTTGGGGGGGGGACGCGACACGGCTCGGGCCCGCCAGTGCCCCAACGGGGTCCTAGTTAGGGCCCGAGCCAGCTGCAGAGCAGCCGGGCGTAGGCCCTATTATTCCCCAAGGGGTTTTTCTTTGTTTCTTTCTTTCTTTCTTTCTTCTTTTTCCTCCCCTTTGAACTGGAAAATGGCCCACTTCCCACTGGCGAAAACTCATGAAATTTGGCAGGACGGCCGGGCCTGGTGAAAAATTTGATATTCCGAAGTCGCCCAAACAAGAAAATGCAAAATGGCTCCATAGCGCCCCCTAAGGTGAAAATTCACACTATTGACTGTCACGCGTGTACGCTTTGTCAAAATGACACAAAAATTGACACACACATGTATCTCAATAAGATCTACAAAAAAGTCAGCGCGGGCGTATCTGTCAAATGTACGGTTAAAGGGTTATTTCGCATTTTTTGCCGATCCGCACACATTGGAATTTCGCTAACTCCTCCGAAGGCTTTCGTTCCACCGGCACCACATTTGCTCAGGCCAATCTACACCCCATGGCCATTAAAAGTTATTCAAATCATGACGCTGCACCCCACGGTTTAGGTTCTAGGGGGCGCCAAAGATAACCCTAAGATCCACATATTTAAAAGTCTTATAACTTTTTATTTTTGCCCTCACTGGCCTCCAAGTTTTCTAGGATGATGCAATGTCCAGCCATCAACACATTTGTGAAGGAATTTTTACTCCCCAAAAGAGCGCCCCCCCATGGCAGGAGAAAAAAGTCCATTTTTTCTTGTCCCCTAAGGTGAAAATACACATTGTTGAGTGTAACACCTGTATGCTTTGGCAAAATGACACCAAAATTGACACACACATGTATCTCAATAAGATCTACGAAAAAGTCAATGCGCGCGTATCTGTCAAATGTACGGTTAAAGGGTTATTCCGTATTTTTTGCCGATCCGCACACATTGGAATTTCGCTAACTCCTCCGAAGGCTTTCGTTCCACCGGCACCACATTTGCTCAGGCCAATCTACACCCCATGGCCATTAAAAGTTATTCAAATCATGACGCTGCACCCCACGGTTTAGGTTCTAGGGGGCGCCAAAGATAACCGTAAAATCCACATATTTAAAAGTCTTATAACTTTTTATTTATGTCCCCACTGGCCTCCAAGTTTTCTAGGATGATGCAATGTCCAGCCATCAACACATTTGTGAAGGAATTTTTACTCGCCAAAAGAGCGCCCCCCCATGGCAGGAGAAAAAAGTCCATTTTTTCTTGTCCACTAAGGTGAAAATACACATTGTTGAGTGCTACGCCTGTATGTTTTGTCGTATTGACACAAAATTTTACATACACGTGTCTTTCAATAAGATCTTCGAAAAAGTCAATAGCCACGTATCTGTAAAATGTACGGTTAAAGGGTTATTTCGCATTTTTTGCAGATTCGCACACATTGGAATTTCGCTAACTCCTCCGAAGGCTTTCGTTCCACCGGCACCACATTTGCTCAGGCCAATCTACACCCCATGGCCATTAAAAGTTGTACAAATCATGACGCTGCACCCCACGGTTTAGGTTCTAGGGGGCGCCAAAGATAACCCTAAAATCCACATATTTAAAAGTCTTATAACTTTTTATTTTTGTCCTCACTGGCCTCCATGTTTTCTAGGATGATGCAATGTCCAGCCATCAACACATTTGTGAAGGAGTTTTTTCTCGTTAAAAGAGCGCCCCCCCATGGCAGGAGAATAAAGTCAAGTTTTTCCTGTTCATCATTCAATGGCTCAAACGCACTGCTCTCTCGGCAAAAGCGAAAGGAGGAGCAACTTGCCATTTGGATATATCTTAGCTGTGTTTGTGCCCTCACTCATGGTCCAGACTTTTTTCAAATAGGACATGGAGTTTTTCTGCAGCGAGCGTTTTGGTAGAAACTGCGCCTCCCGTTCATTATAATGGTAAATGACCACAAACAAGTGCGCACACCATCTTTGGACCTTGAGTGTGACGCGATCGGGTGGGGGAGGCGGTCGTGCTGGGGGCGGCGTGACACGGCTCGGGCCCGCCAGTGCCCCAACGGGGCCCTAGTCTTCTTATTAGGGCCCGAGCGTAGCTGCTAAGCAGCTGCGAGAGCCCTCTTGTTCCTGATGGATTCTTCTTTAGGGCCCGAGCGTAGCTGCTAAGCAGCTGCGAGAGCCCTCTTGTTCCTGCAAGTTTCCTTCCGTCGTTATTATTTTTCCTCCGCTTTAAACTGGAAAATGGCCCATTTCCCACTGGCGAAAACTCAGGAAATTTGGCAGGACGACCGGGCCTGGTGAAAAATTCGATATTCTGAAGTCGCCCAAACAATAAAATGCAAAATGGCTCCATAGCGCCCCCTAAGGTGAAAATTCACATGACGGCTGTACGCTTTGTCATATTGACACAAAAATTGACACACACATGTATCTCAATAAGATCTACAAAAAAGTCAGTGCGGGCGTATCTTTCAAATGTACGGTTAATGGGTTATTTTGCATTTTTTGCAGATCTGCACACATTGGAATTTCGCTAACTCCTCCGAAGGCTTTCGTTCGACCGGCACCACATTTGCGCAGGCCAATCTACCCCCCATGGCCATTAAAAGTTGTACAAATCATGACGCTGCACCCCACGGTTTACGTTCTAGGGGGCGCCAAAGATAACCCAAAAATCCACATTCTTAAAAGTCTTATAACTTTTGTCTTTTGTCCTCACTGGCCTCCAAGTTTTCTAGGATGATGCAATGTCCAGCCATCAACACATTTGTGAAGGAATTTTTACTCCCCAAAAGAGCGCCCCCCAATGGCAGGAGAAAAAGGTCCATTTTTTCTTGTCTCCTAAGGTGAAAATACACATTGTCGAGTGTCACGCCTGTATGCTTTGTCATATTGACACAAAATTTGACAATCACGTGTATCTTAATAAGATCTACGAAAAAGTCAAAGGGCATGTATTTGTCAAATGTACGGTTAAAGGGCTATTTTGCATTTTTTGCCGATTCGCACACATTGGAATTTCGCTAACTCCTCCGAAGGCTATCTTTCCACCGGCACCAAATTTGCTCAGGCCAATCTACACCCCATGGCCATTAAAAGTTGTACAAATCATCTTGCTGCACCCCACGGTTTAGGTTCTAGGGGGCGCCAAATATAACCCTAAAATCCACATATTTAAAAGTCTTATAACTTTTTATTTTTGTCCTCACTGGCCTCCAAGTTTTCTAGGATGATGCAATGTCCAGCCATCAACACATTTGTGAAGGAATTTTTACTCCCCAAAAGAGCGCCCCCCCATGGCAGGAGAAAAAAGTCAATTTTTTCTTGTCCCCTAAGGTGAAAATACACATTGTTGAGTGTCACGCCTGTACGCTTTGTCAAAATGACACAAAAATTGACACACACATGTATCTCAATTAGATCTACGAAAAAGTCAAAGAGCGCGTATCTGTATAATGTACGGTAAAAGGGCTATTTTGAATTTTTTGCCGATTCGCACACATTGGAATTTCGCTAACTCCTCCTAAGGCTTTCGTCCCACTGACACCAAATTTGCTCAGACCAATCTACACTCCATGGCCATTCAAAGTTGTAAAAATCATGACGCTGCACCCCACGGTTTACGTTTTAGGGGGCGCCAAAGATGACCCAAATATACATTACAGTAGACAAAGTAGTTTTGCCCACTGAGTGGCGCCAAAGGGACTTGTCTGTGGAGTCTGTGAGTCACTATTGGCCGTTTTTGACTACTTTAGATTTTACCTTTATATTTCCTCTTACAAAATTTTTACCTTGCCTTGCCTGGTATCATTTTTTTCAGCACAACCTCACCTGTGTCAATTTACAGTTATTTTATCATTTTGACATACTATATTTACACATTGGACCCAAATTCACACACAAAACATAAAATCCGAGTGGAAAAAAGTAACGTTTTTACTGTGAAAACCACAAATATGTGTGATGAACTGTTTTTAAAACTTAAACTTCAAATAAAAATTGTAAACTTCAAAACATATGCAAATTTTTAACAAAGAACATAGTAATTTACCTCTATTTACATCAAAATGCAGGCAATGGCCCAGGTGTTCTTTGTAAAATTATTTACAAAACACTGTATAGTCTCACAAATGTCACTTTTTATTTATGCCACTACAAAAAAACATGATGTAAATGATGCATGATGTAAAACATGATGTAAAAAACTTGTGTAGATCCTCCTCTATGTTAGTCCATGTGTAATTTTTCCATAATTCTTTGTTTTTTGCAGCATTTTTGTTAGTGTAACTGCAGATTGTGCTGACAGTGTCTATGGCAAAAAAAAAAAAAAAACTGAAAATGCCTCAACATGAACCCCTGGTGGTCTCTGAGGGTGAAACCTGCTAACTGCTGCAGCTCTGTCAGCTTCAGTCTCCCATGCAGAGCTCGGAGCGCATGTGTGGCTCTGCACCCTTAGCAGCGTTGCTAACTCCTCAGTAAGGAAAGCCTGCTTCATGTCAGAGTCTCTAAACTCCAGATTAAGTCGATAAAAGTAACTTTCTTTCTAAAAAAAGTCGTTAGGGGGTCTGAAAAGTCATTGAATCTAACAACAAAGTCGCTAGGTTTGCAACTACGTGTCCCAGACTGCATCCCTGCTGAGAGTCCCTCCCTCCCTTCTCATATTGCAGGAAGAACGTAAGCGCCCGCCCCTTGTCAATCAGTCACCATATAATTTTGGATTGGTTGTTGTGGTGAAGTTTTCCACCAATAGGAGAGATGTTGTGGTGTGTTTTTTTTTTCCTTTGGCAAGCCTTTTCCGCCTGTAAGACCTGTCGCTAATGTCTGCATGCTATGTTTTCCTGTCTCATACAGCGCGATTGAGCGCCGAACGTGATCAAAATAAGCAGAAAACAAGTATCGCGGACATAATTTATCATAACTCTGGTTTTATTTGGCCTATCAACACAATTTAAAAACTGGTATATAGGTTGAGGTCCTCACTTTTGAGATAAGTTGAAACGGAGAGTCAACGAGGCTCCGTCTTGCAGCTACATCCGGTTAAATATGTCATGTGACTTGAACGCACACACACACACAGACACACACACACACACAGACACACACACACACGCACACACACACTCAGAGTCTGGTTTTTAGCACCTGCAAAAACATGCTATTTACATATTTGACAAGAATGCAGAGGCTCCTTTTGCCCCTGAAAAAAATCAAATTTCAAACACAACTTGACTGGTCATTTCTCCAAAAGACAACCATGAAGCTCCATCCAAACCTGAAGCAGGCAGTTGGTGCATGTGTACAGTAACCTGAGGGGAGTGAGGTGACTACTTCTGAGGAGAACATGAGCAGTGAAGATTCACCTTACAGCTAGAACAGAGACGTGCACATGATTATACAGGGGCAGGGGCTCAAGTTTTTTCCAGTTGTTTATACAATATGGAAATTAATGTGAAATTAAAAAACAAAGTATTAATAGAAAGGTAATGACTGTCCTGTGTAGGTGACAGTGATATCCAATAGGCTAGGCACTCACGAGGCTGGCTGTGGCAAGTGTAAGTGAAAGCAACACGCACTGGAAGGAAGAACAGCAAACGCCGATGAAGGAAAAGGGTCTTTGCAGTGATGGGCGTTACCAGAGAGGGCGATGGCCAGAGGACACAAATGGGACGGGGAGGAAGCGCGTTGGGGGGGGGGGATGCGACACAGCTCGGGCCCGCCAGTGCCCCAACGGGGTCCTAGTTAGGGCCCGAGCCAGCTGCAGAGCAGCCGGGCGTAGGCCCTATTATTCCCCAAGTGGTTTTTCTTTGTTTCTTTCTTTCTTTTTTCTTTTTCCTCCCCTTTGAACTGGAAAATGGCCCACTTCCCACTGGCGAAAACTCATGAAAATTGGCAGGACGACCGGGCCTGGTGAAAAATTCGATATTCTGAAGTCGCCAAAACAAGAAAATGCAAAATGGCTCCATAGCGCCCCCTCAGGTGGAAATTCACACTATTGACTGTCACGCCTGTACGCTTTGTCATATTGACACAAAAATTGACACACACATGTATCTCAATAAGATCTACAAAAAAGTCAGTGCGGCCGTATCTGTCAAAATTACGGTTAAAGGGTTATTTCGCATTTTTTGCCGATCCGCACACATTGGAATTTCGCTAACTCCTCCGAAGGCTTTCGTTCCACCGGCACCACATTTGCTCAGGCCAATCTACACCCCGTGGCCATTAAAAGTTATCAAAATCATGACGCTGCACCCCAAGGTTTAGGTTCTAGGGGGCGCCAAAGATAACACTAAAATCCACATATTTAAAAGTCTTATAACTTTTTATTTTTGTCCTCACTGGCCTCCAAGTTTTCTAGGATGATGCAATGTCCAGCCATCAACACATTTGTGAAGGAATTTTTACTCCCCAAAAGAGCGCCCCCCCATGGCAGGAGAAAAAAGTCCATTTTTTCTTGTCCCCTAAGGTGAAAATACACATTGTTGAGTGTCACGCCTATACGCTTTGTCAAAATGACACAAAAATTGACACACACATGTAACTCAATAAGATCTACAAAAAAGTCAATGCGCGCGTATCTGTCAAATGTACAGTTAAAGGGTTATTCCGCATTTTTTGCCGATCCGCACACATTGGAATGTGGCTAACTCCTCCTAAGGCTTTCGTTCCACCGGCACCACATTTGCTCAGGCCAATCTACACCCCATGGCCATTAAAAGTTATCAAAATCATGACGCTGCACCCCACGGTTTAGGTTCTAGGGGGCGCCAAAAATAACCCAAAAATCCACATTCTTAAATGTTTTATAACTTTTTATTTTTGTCCTCACTGGCCTCCAAGTTTTCTAGGATGATGCAATGTCCAGCCATCAACACATTTGTGAAGGAATTTTTACTCCCCAAAAGAGCGCCCCCCCATGGTAGGAGAAAAAAGTCAATTTTTTCTTGTCCCCTTACATAAAAATACACATTGTTGAGTGTCACGCCTGAACGCTTTGTCATATTGACACAAAAATTGACAATCATGTGTATCTCAATTAGATCTACGAAAAAGTCAAAGAGCGCGTATCTGTATAATGTACGGTTAAAGGGCTATTTCGCATTTTTTGCCGATTCGCACACATTGGAATGTGGCTATCTCCTCCTAAGGCTTTCGTCCCACCGATACCAAATTTGCTCAGGGCAATCTACACCCTTAACTTTTTATTTTTGTCCTCACTGGCCTCCAAGTTTTCTAGGATGATGCAATGTCCAGCCATCAACACATTTGTGAAGGAATTTTTACTCCCCAAAAGAGCGCCCCCCCATGGCAGGAGAAAAAAGTCCATTTTTTCTTGTCCCATAAGGTGAAAATACACATTGTTGACTGTCATATTTGTCAACAATACCGTAACGAGGAACAACTTGCCGTTTGGATATATCCTAGCTGTGTTTGTGCCCTCACTCATGGTCCAGACTTTTTTCAAATAGGACATGTAGTTTGTCTGCAGCAAGTGTTTTGGTAGAAACTGCGCCTCCCATTCATTTTAATGGGAAATGACCACAGACAAGTGCGCACACCATCTTTGGACCTTGAGTGTGACGCGATCGGGAGGGGGAGGCGGTCGCGCTGGGGGCGGCGCAACGCGGCTCGGGCCCGACAGTGCCCCACCGGGGCCCTAGTTATTTTTGTCCTCACTGGCCTCCAAGTTTTCTAGGATGATGCAATGTCCAGCCATCAACACATTTGTGAAGGAATTTTTACTCCCCAAAAGAGCGCCCCCCCCCCATGGCAGGAGAAAAAAGTCAATTTTTTCTTGTCCCATAAGGTGAAAATACACATTGTTGAGTGTCACGCCTGTACGCTTTGTCAAAATGACACAAAATTTGACAATCACGTGTATCTCAATAAGATCTATGAAAAAGTCATGCGCAAATATCTGTAAAATGTACGGTTAAAGGGCTATTTTGCATTTTTTGCCGATTCGCACACATTGGAATGTGGCTAACTCCTCCTAAGGCTTTCGTCCCACTGACACCAAATTTGCTCAGGCCAATCTACACCCCATGGCCATTCAAAGTTGTAAAAATCATGACGCTGCACCCCACGGTTTACGTTCTAGGGGGTGCCAAAGATGACCCAAATATCCACATTCTTAAAAGAATCCACATCCCCCCCCCCTCCCCCCATGGCAGGAGAAAAAGTCAAGTTTTTCCTGCCCATCGCTCAATGGCTCAATCGCATCGCTCTCTCGGCAAAAGCGAAAGGAGGAGCAACTTGCCATTTGGATATATCCTAGCTGTGTTTGTGCCCTCACTCATGGTCCAGACTTTTTTCAAATAGGACATGTAGTTTGTCTGCAGCGAGTGTTTTGGTAGAAACTGCGCCTCCCATTCATTATAATGGGAAATGACCACAGACAAGTGCGCACTCCATCTTTGGACCTAGAGTGTGACGCGATCGGGAGGTGGAGGCGGTCGCGCTGGGGGCGGCGCGACGCGGCTCGGGCCCGACAGTGCCCCACCGGGGCCCTAGTTTGTTATTATTATTATTTTTCCTCCGCTTTAAACTGGAAAATGGCCCACTTCCCACTGGCGAAAACTCATGAAATTTGGCAGGACGACCAGGCCTGGTGAAAAATTCGATATTCTGAAGTCATCCAAACAATAAAATGCAAAATGGCTCCATAGCGCCCCCTAAGGTGAAAATTCACACTATTGACTGTCACGCCTGTACGCTTTGTCATATTGACATAAAAATTGACACACACATGTATCTCAATAAGATCTACAAAAAAGTCAGTGCGGGCGTATCTGTCAAATGTACGGTTAAAGGGTTATTTCGCATTTTTTGCCGATCCGCACACATTGGAATTTCGCTAACTCCTCCGAAGGCTTTCGTTCCACCGGCACCACATTTGCTCAGGCCAATCTACACTCCATGGCCATTCAAAGTTGTACAAATCATGATGCTGCACCCCATGGTTTAGGTTCTAGGGGGCGCCAAAAATAACCCAAAAATCCACATTCTTAAAAGTTTTATAACTTTTTATTTTTGTCCTCACTGGCCTCCAAGTTTTCTAGGATGATGCAATGTCCAGCCATCAACACACTTGTGAAGGAATTTTTACTCCCCAAAAGAGCGCCCCCCCATGGCAGGACAAAAAAGTCAATTTTTTCTTGTCCCCTAAGGTGAAAATACACATTGTTGAGATTCACGCCTGTACGCTTTGTCATATTGACAAAAAATTTGACACACACGTGTATCTCAATAAGATCTACGAAAAAGTCAATGTGCGCGTATCTATAAAATGTACGGCTAAACGGCTATTTTGCATTTTTTGCCGATTCGCACACATTGGAATGTGGCTAACTCCTCCTAAGGCTTTCGTCCCACTGACACCAAATTTGCTCAGGCCAATCTACACCCCATGGCCATTCAAAGTTGTAAAAATCATGCCGCTGCACCCCATGGTTTACGTTCTAGGGGGCGCCAAAGATGACCCAAATATCCACATTCTTAAAAGTCGTTTTGGCCACTGGAGGAGTACAGAGTACTGCAGGATACACACACACAGACACACACACACACAGACACACACACACACGCACACACACACACACACACACACACACACACATACACACTCAGAGTCTGTTTTTCAGCACCTGCAAAAACATGCTATTTACATATTTGACAACAATGCAGAGACTTCCTTTTGCCCCTGAAAAAAATGAAATTTCAAACACAACTTGACTGCTAATTTCTCCAAAAGACAACCATGAAGCTCCATCGAAACCTGAAGCAGGCAGTTGGTGCATGTGTACAGTAACCTGAGGGGAGTGAGGTGACTGCTTCTGAGGAGAACATGAGCAGTCAAGATTCACCTTGGAGCTAGAACAGGGACGTGCACATGATTATACAGGGGCAGGGGCTCAAGTTTTTTCCAGTCGTTTAGACAATATGGAAATTAATGTGAAATTAAAAAACAAAGTATAAATAGAAAGGTAATGACTGTCCTGTGTAGGTGACAGTGATATCCAATAGGCTAGGCACTCACGAGGCTGGCTGTGGCAAGTGCAAGTGAAAGCCACACGCACTGGCAGGAAGAACAGCAAACGCCGATGAAGGAAAAGGGTCTTTGCAGTGATGGGCGTTACCAGAGAGGACGATGGCCAGAGGACGCGAATGGGACGGGGAGGCAGCGCGTTGGGGGGGGGGGGGGGGGCGCGACACAGCTCGGGCCCGCCAGTGCCCCAACGGGGCCCTAGTTATTTTTCTTCCCCTTTGAACTGGAAAATGGCCCACTTCCCACTGGTGAAAACTCATGAAATTTGGCAGGACGACCGGGCCTGGTGAAAAATTCGATATTCTGAAGTCGCCCAAACAATCAAATGCAAAATGGCTCCATAGCGCCCCCTAAGGTGAAAAATTCACATGATTGAGTGTCACACCTGTACGCTTTGTCAAAATGACATAAAATTTGACACACACGTGTATCTCAATAAGATCTACAAAAAAGTCTATGCGCACGTATCTGTCAAATGTACGGTTAAAGGGCTATTTTGCATTTTTTGCGGAACCGCACACATTGGAGTTTCGCTAACTCCTCCGAAGGCTTTCGTTCCACCGGCACCAAATTTGCTCAGGCCAATCTACACCCCATGGCCATTAAAAGTTGTACAAATCATGACGCTGCACCCCACGGTTTACGTTCTAGGGGGCGCCAAAAATAACCCAAAAATCCACAGTCTTAAAAGTCTTATAACTTTTTATTTTTGTCCTCACTGGCCTCCAGGTTTTCTAGGATGATGCAATGTCCAGCCATCAACACATTTGTGAAGGAATTTTTACTCCCCAAAAGAGCGCCCCCCCATGGCAGGAGAAAAAAGTCCATTTTTTCTTGTCCCATAAGGTGAAAATACACATTGTTGAGTGTCACGCCTGTACGCTTTGTCATATTGAAACAAAATTTGACAATCACGTGTATCTCAATAAGATCTACGAAAAAGTCAATGCGCACGTATCTGTAAAATGTACGGTTAAAGGGCTATTACGCATTTTTGATCGATTCGCACACATTGGAATGTGGCTAACTCCTCCTAAAGCTTTCGTTCCACCGGCACCACATTTGCTCAGGCCAATCTACACCCCATGGCCATTAAAAGTTGTACAAATCATGATGCTGCACCCCACGGTTTACGTTCTAGGGGGCGCCAAAAATAACCCAAAAATCCACAGTCTTAAAAGTCTTATAACTTTTCATTTTTGTCCTCACTGGCTTCCAAGTTTTCTAGGATGATGCAATGTCTAGCCATCAACACATTTGTGAAGGAATTTTTACTCCCCAAAAGAGCGCCCCCCCCATGGCAGGAGAAAAAGTCAAGTTTTTCCTGCCCATCGCTCAATGGCTCAAACACATGTCATGTGTTCAAACTCCTCCGAAAGGAGGAGCAACTTGCCATTTGGATATATCCTAGCTGTGTTTGTGCCCTCACTCATGGATCAGACTTTTTTCAAATAGGACATGTAGTTTGTCTGCAGCGAGTGTTTTGGTAGAAACTGCGCCTCCCATTCATTATAATGGGAAATGACCACAGACAAGTGCGCACACCATCTTTGGACCTTGAGTGTGACGCGATCGGGAGGGGGAGGCGGTCGCGCTGGGGGCGGCGCAACGCGGCTCGGGCCCGACAGTGCCCCAACGGGGCCCTAGTTCTTCTTTTTCCTCCCCTTTGAACTGGAAAATGGCCCACTTCCCACTGGCGAAAACTCATGAAATTTGGCAGGACGACCGGGCCTGGTGAAAAATTCGATATTCTGAAGTCGCCCAAACAATAAATGCAAAATGGCTCCATAGCGCCCCCTAAGGTGGAAATTCACACTATTGACTGTCACGCCTGTACGCTTTGTCATATTGACACAAAAATTGACACACGTATGTATCTCAATAAGATCTACAAAAAAGTCAATGCGGCCGTATCTGTCAAATGTACGGTCAAAGGGTTATTTCGCATTTTTTGCCGATCCGCACACATTGGAATTTCGCTAACTCCTCCGAAGGCTTTCGTTCCACCGGCACCACATTTGCTCAGGCCAATCTACACCCCGTGGCCATTAAAAGTTATCAAAATCATGACGCTGCACCCCAAGGTTTAGGTTCTAGGGGGCGCCAAAGATAACCTAAAATCCACATTCTTAAAAGTCTTATAACTTTTTATTTTTGTCCTCACTGGCCTCCAAGTTTTCTAGGATGATGCAATGTCCAGCCATCAACACATTTG